AGGTACGCTGCCCGCTTCAGCCTCCGAAAGTACTGGGATTATAGGTGTGAGCCACCACAGCCAGCCTGAGATTTTTAATTTTTAAATGTTTAGGTTCACTGCCTTCCAATTGTGCCTGCCTTTCATGTATTTAAATATTAGGCTGTAGAAACTGCAGATACTTTCTTTGTCCTGTATTCATTAACGGGCTTCACTCTGAAATCAGTTCATTCATGTTTCTGCAGCAGCTCTGATTTCATTCTTTTTCATGGCTGCATAGTATTCCATGTGCAGGTTTGTTACATAGACATGTTGCATAGTGATGAGGTCTGGGTTTCTGCTGTACCCACACTCCAGTAGTGAACACTGCACCTAGTAGGCAATCTTTCACCCCTAACCGCTGTCCCACCCTCCCTCCTTTTTGAGTCCTCTGTGTCTGTTGTTCCCCTCTGTATGTCCACATGTACCCGTTGTTTAGCTCCCATTTACAAGTGAGAACGTGCAGTCTTTGATTTTATGTCTGAGTTATTTCACTTAGGATTACGGCCTCCAGCTGCCTCCATGTTGCTGCAGAAGGCATGATTTCATTCTTTTTTATGGCTGCCTAGTATTCCATAGTGTATATATATGACATTTTATTTATCGAATCATCCATTGATGGACACTGAGGTTGATTCCATGACTTTGCTATTGTGAATGGTGCTATGATAAGCACATAAGTGCAGGTGTCTTTTTTTATATAATAATTTATTTATCTTTGGATAGTTACCCAGTAGTGGGATTGCTGGGTCTAATGGTAATTCTATTGAGAAATCTCAATTGGTAGTTCTTTGAGAAATCACTATGCTAGTTTTTTTGAGACAGAGTCTCGCTCAGTTGCCCAGGCTGGAATGCAGTGGCATGATTGTGCCTGACTGCAACCTCCACCTCCCAGGTTCGAGCAGTTCACTGCCTCAGCCTCCCAAGTAGCTGGGATTACAGGCACCCGCCACCACGCCCAGCTAATTTTTGTATTTTTTAGTAGAGACGGGGTTTCACCATGTTGGCCAGTCTGGTCTCGAACTCCTGACCTCATGATCTGCCCACCTTGGCTTGCCAAAGTGCTAGGATTACAGGCATGAGCTACCGTACCTGGCCTTGACTATTTAATCGTAGCCATTCTGACTGATGTTATGATATTGCCTTATATAGCCTTGTGGTTTGAATTTGCATTTCACTGTTGATAAGTGATGTTGAACATGGTTTCATGTTTGTTGCTCACTTGTATGCTTTACTTTTTGATGGAGTTACTTGGTTTTTTTCTTGTTGAGTTACTTGTAGATTCTAGATATTAGTCCTTTGTCAGATAGCATGATTTGCAAATATTTTCTCCTGTCATGTAGGATGTCTGTTTACTCTGTTGAAAACTTTTTTTGTGGTGCAGAAGCTTTCTAGTTTAAGCCCCGGTTCTCTATTTTTGCTTTTGTTGAATTTGCTTTTGAGGTCGTAATCATAAATTCTTTGCCAGGGCCAATGTCCACAAGGGGTTTTCCTAGGTTTTCTTGCAGGTTTCTTACAATTTCAGGTCTTATGCTTAGGTTTTAATTTAATCCATCTTGAGTTAATTTTTGTAAAAAAGATGGTAAAAGATAGGGGTCCCTGCCGGACATGGTGGCTCACACCTGTAATCCCAGCATTTTGGGAGGCTAAGGCAGGTGGATCACGAGGTCAGGAGGTTGAGACCAGCCTCACCAACATGGTGAAACCCCATCTCTACTAAAATACAAAAAATTAGCTGGGCATGGTGGCACATACCTGTAATCCCAGATACTTTGGAGGCTGAGACAGGAGAATCACTTGAAGCAGGGAGTTGGAGGTTGCAGTGAGCTGAGATCGCGCCATTGCACTCCAGCCTGGGTAACAAGAGCGAAACTCCGTCTCAAAAAAAAAAAAAAAAAAAGACAGGGGTCCTGTATCATTCTACATGCGGCTATCCGAGTTTTCCAGCATCATTTATTGAATAGGATGTCTTTTCCCCATGTATATTTTTGTTAACTTTGTCAAAGACCAGTTGACTGTAGGTATGTGGCTTTATTGATTGATTTTGTATTCTGTTCAGTTGATCTGTGTGTCTGTTTTTGTACCAGTACCATGCTACTTTGTTTACTAGCCTTGTCGTATCATGTGCAGTCACATAATATGATGCCTCCAACTTAATTTTTTTGCTTAGGATTGCTTTGATTATTCAGACTCTTTTTTGGTTCCTTATGAATTTTAGGATTGTTATTTCTAATTCTGTGAAAAAATAACATTGGTAATTTGATAGGAATTGTGTTGAATCTGTAGATTGCTTTGAACAGTATGGCCATTTTAACGATATTGATTCTTCAAATCCGTAAGCATAGGAGGTTTTTTCATTTGTTTATGTCATCAACTATGTCTTTCATCAGTGTTTTGTAATTCTCCTTGTAGAGATATTTCACATCTTTGGTTAAATGTTTTCCTAGGGGTGTGTGTGTGTGTGTGTGGGTGTGTGTGTACATATTTATGTATATATGTATACAT